GCATTTCTTTCGAAAATCACTTTTTATTACACCCAACATATCTTTGGTAGTGTTGATATGAACTTTGCTTTCCCAATCCTTAAATGTCATGGTGTGATTTACTAAGAGGTCAATGAAGCCATTATCAGAAAAACGATCATACGACTTCCAGCAATCGGATAGGATAATTGTTCCAGGTAAGATAGTCTGTTGAATTAAATCCAACAAAGTTTCTTTTCTTCTGTACTCAACCACTTCAAAGAAACACCTACTGCTCCCTCTATGCTTTCTTTCCTGTTCATTCCAATTCATACAGAAACTTCCGGTTAATAATATTAAAACTGGCAGCCATTTATTGTATAAAGCACAAAATAAGCAAAGTACTTCCTAACTGACTTCCAGTGCAGAAATAAGCCGTGAGAAATATCTTCTCAACAACCAAAGTCATCAGGATCATGCATTACAACCGGTCACCTCATAATAGGGTCCACAATCTCTTCATGATAGGGTTTCCAAAACGTATACCATAAGATACTCAGGTTACCATAAATGAAACAACAACATGGTGATAATCCAAGGTGTACCCCAAAATATAGACTACCCGTCATTTCTTCAGCAGAATGGTGGCTAAATACGAGGGCCATCCAGGAAGTAGATTACGTTTCCGTCTGTGTCCGCTAGGGGCGGGGCTAGCGCGGCCATCTTGGGGTCAGAGCGTTGCGCAGCTCAGTCTGCATCTAGCCGTGCTAGTGAGAGGTTCGTGCTGTGCTCCGTTCAGATACTGTGACGGTTTGAAATGTCTGCGTTAATTGAAAATCCCGCGAGCTGCGAGGTGCGCTCAGTAATAAGGTTTCTGACTGCAAAAAACTGTAAAATGATAGAAATCTATCGGCAGCTTCGTGAAGTGTATGGGGACAACATTATCACTGAAGGTGGAGTGCGTCAGTGGGTCATAAGATTTCAAAATGGCCGAACCAATGTTCACGACGAAGATCGAAGTGGGAGACCCAGCATAGTGACCGCCGAACTTCTCGAAAAAGTCGATGCTAAAGTCCGTGAAAATCGAAATTTCACAATAACGGAACTTTCTTTGAGTTTTCCACAAATTTCGCGAAGTTTGTTGCACGAAATCATCAGCGAAAAGCTTGGTTACCACAAGTTTTGTGCAAGATGGAAGGCAAGAAGAGGTAACGAAGTGGTGAAGGCGCAGGCGGCCGAATTTTTCGATGAAGGAATTTCCAAGCTCGTACATTGCTACGATAAATGCCTTAATTTGTATGGTGACTATGTAGAAAAGTAGTATTTGAGTGTGGCTTTCATCTGTATATAATAAAATTTGTTTCCTATACTTTGTTTATTTTTTTTATTCCAAAACGTAATCTACTTTCTGGATAGCCCTCGTATAAAGCACGCACATCTGCAATTATTCAAACTTGTGTGGCAACTTGCATCAAGGTTTTGTTTATTGTTGCATATTGTTACAAAATGTACAGGAGCGGTGAGATAGCTTCCCCGTAAAGCAGTTTTAGGGTTGCCATAAAATGGCAAGCCAAGGCAGGGTTGCCACATTTTGTGAGAATTGTGACCCATTTGGTGACAAAATTGGCGATATGCCATGGACGGATGGAGAACCTTCTGGAACGAATTCTTACCGGCTTAGCCCAAAATGTCCTCGAACACAAGCCGAAAGCTATATAAACCTTGCTGGTCCGCAGTCAGTTAGTGAGTGTCTTGTGTAGCGAGCTGATAGAGAGTGTGCCTCATCAAGAGGGCGAGTCAGAGTGCCTCATCTAGAGTGCGAGATAGTTAGTATCGAGTCGGTGTCTCGTCTAGCGAGTCAATCTCTGTGGAGTGGATCGAATTGACAGCCGGGCAGCGAGTGCCGAGTTCACATAAAGCGCCTCATAGTGTATTGCGGTTAGTGCATCATCGAGAGAGCGTGTTGAGCTCCGGGAACGACTGAACCGAAGAGTCGGGTGGTGTGCTCTGTGTATTGTCGAGTGCATCGGGAGTTGTAGCGTGGAGAGTCTCGAAAGTACGTGGAGTTCCGAGAACGACCGAGCAGAGTCGGGAGCTGTACTCTGGTTCTTTGCGTGAAGCTGTCTCTACCGATAGCCTGATAATCTGAAGGCTGTGTTGCTGAACGTGTCAGCGTGTTTATAGTAGTTCATCGACGACTGTAAAACGTGTTTTGGAGCTGTCCTGACAATACTGGCTAATAAAGTGTGTTTCGATACTTCATCAAGTAGTGTCATCATTGTTCACTCCAAATTCATACGAACCCCGTATGAATGTGAAGGAAGAAAATAACGTAACAACTGGTGTCAGAAAAGAAAAACGCAACAATCGCATTGTTCTAACATGGGTATTTTGACACAAAATGACTTTTCCTGAAATAACATACCAATTGTTCTCCATATTTCGATTCTACTACTCAAATTATGCCCAGATATTAAATTTTGTCAAATTTAGTGAGAAATTTATGGAGAAATTCAAAAATTTATCTTGGCGAAATTTTTTTCAGTTTCACGAAGATTAATTCACTTGGCGAACTTCTTAATATATGGCAACGACTGTAAGAACGTATTTTAGAGCTGCCCTGACAATACTGGCCAATAAAGTGTATTTCAATATTACATTAAGTAGTGTTGTTATTATTCACTCCAAATCCGCACAAACCCCGTAACGAACGTGAAGGAAGAAACAATCGTAACAACTGGTGGCAGAAAAGAAAAACGCAACAATATGTACTAAAAAATGTACCCAAAACACGGTACTTGTATATTTTGAAACTGAGGGTGTGGATAATCAGAAAATGCCAGTGACAAGACCAATGGAAAATCTATTAAGACAGCTCGTGACTGCATTTGCTGAATTCCAAGAAAAGATGGAAGCCGGACAGGAGAAGTTGAAAGTGGATATGATGAGATAAAAGCTGGATATAAGGAGATAAAAGCTGGATACAAAGAGATGACAGCTGATATCAAAGTCGGACTAGAAGAGAAGAAAGGCCAACGAGAAGAGATAAATGGCAGCCAAGAAAATGTGCGACAGCAACTCCAACAGCTGAAAGTGGAGCTTACAGAAGAAACTGGATGCATAAAAGACAATGTGGAAATGAGGGAAATGGCATCTGAAGAACCAAAGGATGAAGAAAAAAAGGAAGTAGCTAATGAATTGTCTGAGAAAGATCAAGAAATTAAGGATGAAACATCTAACAGGATTAAAGAAAAAGAACGAAAACATGAAGAAATAAAAGACAAGAAAAAAGCTTATGATTCTCAAGTGCCTGAAGTGGAAGAAAATGAAAATGCGACTGTTGAGTTCATCAAAACTGATACTGAAGTTATGAAGTCGCAGGCATCAGTTGTTAAACCATCTGAAAGTGCATGTGATGCGAAGATGGGGAGAAGCTGATGTGCAGCTTAAGCAGTGCGCTCTAGGACTGCAAGAAAAGTCACCCACTTCGCAAACTGGGTGTGCGTCTCATAGTGCAGATTTTGTAGACAAGGACTTGATTCTGAACCCAGATACTTCTGCTCGTAAAGGATGAGATTCTGTTCGTGACCCTGGTGCAAACTTCGGAACTGGTTCCCAGGAAATGAAGGTGAATGGGCATGTCCAGCGGCTGAAAATACCGAAGTTAACTGTATACATGATGGGAATGAACTACAGAGTAATGAACAAACTTTTTCACAACTTCCTGTGGTTAACAAGTTTGAAAGGACTATATCTTCAGATTGTGATATGCAAAACAGAAATGCATCTGAGAACTGCAGTGGAAAAGTATTTGACCCGGGTATAACTTAATGAAAAGACTGAGACTGAAATTTATTCTGAATTTTAATTTTGTAGAAATTTCAAATTGTGATGTGTTTAATTTGTATATGTAACTTGTACATAGTGTAAATATCTATTTCTTTAGTTATGTTATTTATTTATACCTTATGTTTGTTTTATCACCTTTTGTTTGTATTGAATTATGCATCTGACCAAGGGTTGTACTGCTTGCGACGTGCAGTTCTTGGGAGGGGGCAGTGTACTGGAGCGGTGAGATAGCTTCCCTGTAAAGCAGTTTTAGGGTTGCCATAAAATGGCAAGGGAAGGCAGGGTTACCATATTTGGCGATATACCATGGACGGATGGAGAACCTTCTGGACGAATTTTACTGGTTTAGTCTAGAATGTTCTCGAACACAAGCCGAAAGCTATATAAACCCTGCTGGTCCGCAGACAGTGAATGTCTCGCCTAGCGAGCTGATAGAGAGTGTGCCTCGTCAAGAGGGCGAGTCAGAGTGGCTCCTCTAGAGTGCAAGGTAGTTAGTATCGAGTAAATGTCTCGTCTAGCGAGTCAATCCCTGCGGAGTCGGTCGAGTTGACAGCTGGGCAGTCCAAGTGGATCGTCGAATGCACGGAAAGAGTCTCGTAGTGTATCGCGGTTAGTGCATCGTCGAGAGAGCGTGTTGAGCTTCAGGAACCCAACTCTTCGGAACGAACCGAAGAGTCAGGAGTGGTGCTCTGTGTATCATTGAGTGCATCGCGAGTTGTAGCGTGGAGAGTCTTTGAGAGTACATTAGTTCCGAGAATGATCAAGCAGAATCGGGAGCTGCAATCTAGTGCTTTGCAATGAAGCTGTCTCCACTGTGATAACCTGGAGGTTGTGTCGCTGATCGTGTCAGCATGTTTATAGTAGTTCATCGACGACTGTAAAAACGTTTTTTAGAGCTGTCCTGACAATACTGGCCAATAAAGTGTGTCTCGATATTCCATTAAGTAGTGTTGTCATTATTCACTCCAAATCCGTATGAATCCCGTTACGAACGTGAAAGAAGAAAAAATCGTAACATCTGGTGACAGAAAAGAAAAATGCAACAATATGTACTAAAAAAATGTACCCAAAACAAAACACGGCACTTGTATATTTTGAAACTGGGGGTATGGATAATCAGTAAATTTAATTGATTCCAAAATAAAATATAGTTTTTTGTAAATTATTATTAATTCATTGTTTTTCTTTTTTAGGCCTGCTGGGTGGCCAGTATCTGGACCAGAGATAAATGGAACTTCTACTTACTATGAAATAAGTATATGTCGTCCTCTCAATTATACTTCACCTTCTCTCAGCAAAGGGTGTCCAAAAAGTTCTATCTGTCAAATTTCAGGTGAAAAAGCAGTTAGTTTTGGAAAGGCCATTGAAAAACCTTCGGATTATGCAATTGCTGATAATGTTGGTAGTGGATTTTCTCTTTATGTTCTGACAAGGGAATTGTGTGGATCAAGTGGAGTATATCGGGCTACCATAAATTTTGCATGTGGCCCAAATCTAGGAGCACCAGAGCTTATATTATGGAGTGACTGCCAAGTGAATTTTTTCTGGAGAACTTCAGCTGCTTGTATCAATAAACCCAAAATTCATCAGGTTCCTTGCTATGTCATTGACAAAGAAGGGAATAAGCGAGATTTGTCTCAGCTGATTTTAAGGAAAGGAAGCTATCCTGTAGAAACTGCAGATCCAAGTATTAATTTTACAATCAACGTTTGTTCTGAGATACTTGATGATGAAGGAAACACAAGTTGTGGCTCAAATTCCTCTGCATGTAGGGTTGTTGGAGATGAATATTTGTCTTTTGGAAAACCACAGGGGCGCCTTCAGTACACTCAGGAAGGATTAGTACTATCTTATTCAACAGATCAATTATATTCAGAACCACCAAAAGGATGTAATCTCAAGCCGAAGACAACTATTTATTTTAACTGCCCTCGCAGAGATTATAGCCAGCCACCCATCCTGTTATCTGATTTAAACTGTCAGTATGAGATAAAATGGGATACTGAATATGCCTGCCCTGAAAACTTATTAAAAGGGAGTTTGAAAACTTGTCAATTTACTGCAGAATCTCATGGAGTTGAAATAGATTTGAGCCCTTTGAAAAAGAAGCCCATTTTAAATATTCCAAGTAGATATGGGAATTCCACATTTGCTTTAAGTGTTTGTGGTGGGCTCGGAAATTTTACTTGCAGTGGTAAAAATTGGAAGTCAACATCCGTTTGTGCAAATGAGACGGCAAATTCATCCATGATAATAGGTACCACTGATGGATCACGTCTTGTATATGCAGATGGTGTAGTGATTTTAACTTATCCTGGACGACAATCATGTAATAATGATACAGATCATTCAACTGTAGTAAGCTTTGTTTGTGATCCTGATGCCAGTAATGATGGTGAGGGGGAGCCTAAACATGTGTCCTCAGATCACTGCATTCATATGTTTGAATGGAAAACAAAATACGTATGCTTGAAACGTTCACTAGACATTGCTTGCTCAGTCACTTTTAAAAATAAAACAGTCAATCTTAGAAAATTATCATTAGTGGTTGGAGAAGCATGGGAAGCTATTGATCGAAGAAATATGGATCATAAGGATAATGCTGAGTATTACATAAATATTTGTGGTCGGGTGGCACACTTAGGTAATTTAAGTAGTTGCGGTGAAGGTTCTTCTGCTTGTGTTTTGGACAGTGATGGTAAATATTTGAATTTAGGTAACTTTACTTCACCACCAGTTTATGATAAAATTTCAGATTCAATCAGGTTGACTTACACTGGTGGAAGTCCTTGTAAAGATGGAAAACAGTGGAAGTCAACTATTGATTTTATTTGCCGATCTGGACACATTAATTCTGAACCAGTGTTGGTACATATAGATGACTCAGAATGCCAGTATAAATTTGAATGGCACACTGCTGAAGCTTGCCCTGAAGGCTTGGTTAAGGGTGCCAACTGTAAAATACATGATGATAATTTAGGCATTAATTATGATTTAACACCTTTTAAAAATAAAGTGTATGAAGTTGACAGTGAGTCTTACAAATTCTATATTGGTATTTGTGAACCTGTCATGAATTCATCATGTTCATTAAATCAGAATTCTTCTCAGAATGTGGGTATTTGCCGAGAAGATAAAATAAATCATACATCAGTAAAGATTGGGGAGTCAAGTTCTGATTTATCATATTTGGATGGGGTTGTTACTTTAAATTATTTACTAGTTGATCCATTAAATAAAACGACTCACGTTGCTATAATAGTATTCATTTGTGATTATGATGCTGGAAATGGAAGTCCTCGTTTTGCTGAAGAACTGAAGTTTGGATATGTTTTTCATTGGTATACTAGCTTAGTTTGCTCAAATTCTGTTTCGACTGAATGTGTGGTTCATGATCCATTTTCGCATCTAATTTATGATCTGTCAGGATTATCTATATCTGAGAAGAATTGGGTAGCTGTTGTAAATGAAGATAATAAAGAAAGGAAGATTTATTTGAATATTTGTCGCCCTCTTGCTCAGCCATTAATTTGTGATTCAAATGCTGCTGCATGTATGGTTGAAAAGGTTGATGAGAAAGAGAAGGTTGTTATATCTGACTTGGGACATGCAGTTAGTCCTCCGGTTTTAGATAGTCCTGGTCACCTTACTCTTAAGTACACTAATGGAAACCCTTGTGTTGCATATGGTGAAAATATTACTTATTCAACAGTAATACATTTTCTTTGTGCAGAAGATAAAATGCGAAAAAATGGTCTACGATTTTTAAGTAAAGTTGGTGCATGCGAATATGCTTTCTTGTGGACTACCAAAGCTGCTTGTCCGACTGGTGTTTTGCAATCTGTTGAAAGTTGCCAGCTAACTGATCCTGATTCTGGTTTTACTTTTGATTTGACTCCTCTTTGGAAGTCTGCTGAACCATATACAGTAACCGTGTCACCTTCTAGTACTTTCCAGCTTAATATATGCGGTAAAGTTGTATCTGGGTGCTTCACTCCTGATGGAAAACAGTCATCTAAAAATGTTAGTGTGTGTGAAACTGATTTGGAAGACAAATTAGTAGCTAACATTGCTGTATCAGATTCATATTTACTTAGCTATTCTACCGGAAGAGATTTGTCAATTACCTACAAATCTTTTGATGATCTGAAGGAGGAGGTGATAATCAAATTCCCATGCTCTAATACAACAGCAGATCCGAATCCAAAATTTGTAAGCCATGAGAATAAACAATATATTTTTGAGATGAAAACGTCTTTGACTTGCATCCCAGCACACTTTGACTGCAATGTGATTGATCAGTATGGAAATGAATATGATTTAAGTCCTCTTGCAAAATATAGTGATGGGAATTGGGAGGTTGCAGACAACAGACCAAACTATTCACATTTAAGATATCATATAAATTTCTGTCGACCATTGAACAAAGTTGTTGATTATAAATGTCCTGGTGGCTCTTCAGGAGCTTGTCAGACTAATGTTTTGCAGAATGAAAATGTAGGTCGTGATCTTGGTTCGCAAATGAATGAACCCGTAGTGAATAATAAGGGTACTGTAGTTCTTCGTTATACAGATGGCTCTTACTGTCATAATGGTCAGTTCAAGCGTAGTACAACTGTAAATTTGTTCTGTTCTGGAGAACAAGAAGATCTAAAATTTATCGGAGAAACCCCAGAATGTGAATATATTTTCTCCTTAGCAACTCCTGTTGCATGTCCTATTCAAAGCAGTTTTGGTAGTGCTTGCACAGTTAAAGATCCATTCTTTGGATATATTTTTGATTTAAACCCTCTAAAAAGTAAAAATAATAATTATAATGTAACGGTTGATGATTATAACTTCTATTTCAATGTTTGTGATAAATTGAATGGCTTTGAGAATGCATGTATTAATTCAAGTGCTTGCCAAACAAAACCTAAAGAAGCTTCATTTTCAAAAAGTCTTGGTCTGCCAAATGATCGTCTTATTTATCGAAATGGATTAATCACTCTTGAATATAAATCGGGCACAGGCAGTTGCCATGGAAAATATAATCGCTCTGCAAGAATTACCTTTACTTGCCATCATGCCCTTGAAGATAAAGATGGACCATACTTTGTGTCAGAAGCTGAAGATTGTACATATTTATTTGAATGGCCTACTGTACATGCATGCCCACCATTCGATGTCATAGAATGTTCTGTTATAGGTGACAATGGTGCATATTATGACTTAAGCCGATTATCTCTACCTAATGAGAATTATTATGTTAAACATCCTATGTATGAAAAAAATTTTGTCATTAATGTGTGCCGTAGTGTGGTACATACACCAGATTCTGTTTGTCCTTATACTTCTGCATCCTGTATAGTTGATGTTTCAAACCATCCTGTCGATGAACCAGTAAATCTTGGTAGAGTTGGTCAAGGTCCGTATATAGATAATGGTAAGTTAAAAATAAATTACACTTCAGGAGATCCTTGTGATGTAGAAGGAACAGAAACTGCAAGATTCATGCAAACAGTTATTGAATTTATCTGTGATCGCAAAAGCATAGATAGTAAGCCAGAATTTGTAGGAAGAGATGGGTGTACTTATTATTTTGATTGGCATACAGTATATGCTTGTGAAAGTGAACCCATAAAGACTATTGGTGATTGCACAGCTGAAGACCCTCTAACTGGGTATTTGTTTAATCTTTCATCGCTAAGAAGTCATGGATTATTCAAATATCAAAAAGGTAATCACCAATATTATGTCAGTGTATGTGGTAATGATGATTCTAGTCCATGTGGTGCCGATTCTGGTATGTGTCAGGAAGAATTAATTGGAGCAAAGCGTCACTGGAGTGGTGGAAAGCCTAACAACCACTTGGTATACAATAATGGAATTATATTTTTGAATTACAGTGATGGCGATCCATGCCATAATGGTCGTTTTACACGTAATACGTTGATAGAATTTCATTGTGGAAATGGAATAGGTGAGCCAAAATTTTTATATGAATCCCATGATTGTACTTATTTTTTTAGCTGGAAAACTGAACTTGCTTGTCAATCACTGTTACATTGTGCTGTAAAAAATGGTAGCCAGTATTATGATCTCACAAGCATAGCAGGTACATTTCATCTTGCTGCATCTAGTATTTTGAATGACAATGCATCATATTTCATAAGTGTCTGTAACTCATTACAAAAACTGCCAGAAGTTTCATGTCCTCCAGGGGCTGGAATTTGTAAAGTTCAGATGGCTTTGCAGAAGTAAGTACCAAAAATATTACTATGAAATTAAAATAATTGAATTATGCTTAGTTATATAATAATTTAGACTGGAAATTCCAGTATGATGCTTGAAGAATGTAATTATACATATTTAAATTGCTGAGTGTTCTTATTTTTCTTTTTATAATGAATATAGGAATTAGAAATGTAATAGTAATCACAGTGGTGCAAAGTTACCATAGATTATCTTTTACTGTCCATTAGTATATTCTCCAGAGTTATCCATGTAAGATAGCATTAACAGTTCTAGATTTGTTGATCTCAGGAGCAGATGGGCAGATTTTCTTTATATTTAAGTTTAATAATATGGTCATTAATATGTTAATAAACATTTTAATAATTTGGTGCCGCCCAGTCGGTATAATGGTCAGGGAAGCTGACTGCGATGCCGAAGGGCCTGGCTTCGAATACCGGAGAAGGCATGGTTGTAACTGTCCGTCCCTTCATAGGAAGACAGAATTTTATGCGCAATTATTAAAGAAGATTGCTATGAGTCACTTCTAAACCAACAAAGGAAGTGCTTCTAATTATTTCTTAATATTTAATCTGACTATGCCCTGAAACAGAATGTACATTGTACATATTTAACTTGCGTTCTTCTTGTCTCGAAAGTGCAACTTAAGATTATGTTAGATGTCTCAAAAGTGCGACTTAAGATTGTTAGATTTATATATAGCATTATTCAAACATAGGTATTTAGACACAAAATTGGACTTTTTCTAAAATGAACTACCAACTTGTCATACTTTAATTCTAGAACTGAAATTATGCAAAAATACCAAGTTTTGAAAAAAATCAAAGGAGTAAAAAAAAATTATTCCTCAAAATTTTAGCCCCACATTGTTAATTTAATAGAATTTGGGATATATTTATTAATATTTTTTTCATTAAAATTGTAGAGACATTTGGCATTTTTTGAAAGCAGGAGTGATGAAAAATGAGCAACGCCCTCGCTAGGAATCGAACCACGGACTTCTGGAGTACTCGCCCAACGTGCAAACCACTACACTACAAAGGCATGCCAAGAAGGCGTCAGAAATATCTTATAAAATTACTTCATTCCTTCTTTCACAATTCGAAATTTAGGTTGAATCCAAATAAAATTCGCAGTTATTTTTTGACTTATTTTAGAAATTCGTATTTTTTTAATAATTTTTATAAATTTTTCTAAAAGGTTTTGAATTATAACCTATAAAATCTATGTCATCATCTTAAACTAGATGTATTTCTAGGCATGCGTGCAAAAAATTGTATTTTTTTATTCAGATATTTCCCAAGATCTACGTATTTCAAAATTTATATACTAGCGCGTTTTGAAATTTGGCTTTTCTGTTACAAGCGATGATAGCACCAAACGTGGTCTATGCCTTTTTTAAAATTATTTGAAAGAATGAATGATGTGCCTTTTTCCCATTCTTGCACCATGGAAGAAATGGGAAGGAGAATTGTTTACCATAAATTAAGAATTTTGCCCAGTGAATAATCCTGGGCGCTGTACAGTTGGTGTGGTGGGCAGGGAAGCTGACTGCGATGCTGAAGGGCCTGGGTTCGAATCCCGGAGAAGGCATGGTTATAACTGTGCATCCCTTCATAGGAAAGGTGATGGTGGTCCACCTGTTAGGTGCCTCCATAATAAAGAAACCACCACATCTGGCCTTGTATAGATTAATGGACTGGGTTATATTTGTAATTGTTCACAGTCTGCCATTTGAAAAAAAAAAAAAAAAAAAAAAAAAAGGTACTTTTCCATTTTGCCAGCGCAAATCTCACCAACCAAGGACCAAGGAAGGGTTCTATTATGGGGCTCTTAGGCATGTAGCCTTTATCCCCACATCGTCAAAGAAATATCTTTATCGCCAAAAAGAGGGTTCCGCAAAGAGGTAAATTTAGTGCCAAAATGTTAATTTAAAATGTTAATTTAACAAAAAGGGTAACTGCCTTCCACAATGAAAAAAGGTAAAAACACTGAAGGACTTAATTTAGTAATTTTGGTGTCGAATAAGGGCCAGAATCAATTTGGATGGGTTACATTATGAATTTTGAAAAGTATATATCAATGTTTCTTTGATCAATGGTCATGTGGTGTTAACAACACGAGAGCAGAAACTTTCGCGAAAAACTTCATGTTGCAAGTGCTTCAGGTCTGGGGGAGAGGAAAAGCGGGAACTCGTTAGGCGAGTTTGAATTAAAGAGACATAGCCAGCAATGCGTCTGAGGAGAAACTTTTATAAATATAATAAAATTGCATTAACTTAATGTGTTATGATAACTAATGAAAAAGCATTAAATTCTTGTAAAGAGATTAAATTAAAATTAAGTAATCCTTGCACTAGAACACTTTTAAGAAGGGTACAAAGATGTGTTTAGAGCTTGATAACAACCGCTTACGGTTGAAAGAAGTAAGATTGCTCGATTATGGGACAAATAGAGAGTGACCCTGAGGGAAGCTGAAAGATCAGCGAATTCACTAAGGTGGGAAGGGGGAAAGCGAGCGAGTGTATTGAAACCTTCGAGGCGTCTCGTCTCCATAGCAACGCATCTTGGGAAAAGGAAGCGCATTATATGCGTTCTCCAGAATAGCTCTGGGTCTCTTTCTTGACGATGCAATTACTGGATGATAAACAAGGAGGCTGTGGAGTACGGGATTTCCGATTGAAGGAATCTTTTGGAAAAAGTTAGCCAAAAGTCACTGTATAAAGCGATTTATGGGGAGAATTTTGGCTGCATTATGAATGTTCTCGTTCATAACAAACCACGGAGTTTTATAAATTTGCCGTAGTATAATTTTCTGAAAAATTTGGATATGATTCCTGTTAGTAATTGCTGTGCCCCATACCGGGCTAGCATATGTCAGAATTGGCCTTATCATTGATTTATAGAGCAAAATCCTGTTTTTCGTGGACAGGTCGCTATTTCTAGCGAAAAAGGCAGTAATTGAGTTTTGACAACCTTTGCACTGGAAATTGTTGTTTGAATGTGAGGTTGCCAAGTTAATTTTGAATCAAGTATCACTCCTAGATACTTATAAGTAGGAAGGCTGGGAACTGGTTTCTCCGAAGAACTGTAAGTTAGGTAAATTTGGAAACGTACTTCGGATAAATAAAATGGCAGCACATTTAGCGACATTAATTTTGATCTTCCACAGTTCCGAGCCAGAGCTCTAGGCTTGAAAGATAATGCCTGCAGTGCAGAAATTACCGTGGATGTATTAGAATGTTGGTTCATGATGGCTGTGTCGTCCGCATATAAAGCTCGATCGACATTAGGTTACTTAGGTATGTCATTTACCTAGATGTTGAAACATTTGAGGTCCAAGCAAACTTCCTTGTCGGGACCCCAGCACAGAATCGGGCGAGGAGTTGAGTATTCATGTGGCGAACTCACACCCGAAACGATCTACCTGTCAAGGTACGAGTTGAATAGTTTTTAATGAGTTGCGCTGAAAAACCAAGCCGCATGAACTTGTAATAAGCCCGTCGTGCCAAGTCCTGTCAAAGGCCTTGGCAATGTCAAGATAGACAATTCCAGTTTTCTCTCGTTTACGAAAGCCCTCGTGAATGAATTCTACTACACGGAGTAACTGGTGTACCGTGGAGTGTTCAGGCCAAATTGTTCCGGGATTATTAAATTTTGATCACGACAGAATTCATTCAGGCGTTTAAGTAAAACAAATTCATATATTTTTGAGAGAGATGAAAAGAGGCTAACCAGTCTGTAGTTGACGAGGAGATTTAAATTTTGACCCGGTTTTGGAATAGAAATGACTGCGGCAGTTTTCCAACAAACAGGGAAGTAACATCTTTTAAGCATAAGGTTAATCAAGACCGTAATCCATACCATATACATAATGGGGAAGTTTTTAATCATGCAGTTCAAAATTTGATCTATGCGAGTGGCTGCCTTCAGCTTCATTTTATCAATGAACTCTAGCACCTCAGTTGAATCAGTCAGCCTGAGATCAGGCGTCATGCAGGGGTGTTTGTGCTCCGGGGATTTTGAACTTCGATACCCGGAAATTCCGGGGATCGATGTTCAAAAAAAAATTGTTGAAGGAGTGTATTCTTGCTTGCATTCCCAACAACTCACAAAGGATGCTTTAGCTTCGAAAAAAAGAATACTAAATGGGTTATTTGTTATGCAAAACAAAACTTTATTGCATATGGCATTATATTCAGCAGTATTACCAGAGTTCAACACATATATTAAATTATTTGAAACAAAAAAACCAATGCTTCATTTAATACATTCCAGTATTTATAAAAATTGATGGCAAAATTTTTCTCTTTTTTTTATGAAGCCAGAAAATATAGAGTGCACATCTTATAATGATTTATTAATGGTTGATGTCACAAATCCAGAATTCCATCTACCTAGTAATATTTACTGGTGCAGAAGCTTCCACTCTCCTGAACAAATTATCAAAAAATCATCCAATAGCAAAAGAATTCCAAATTTCTCTGATGAAAGCTTATACTAATACAGCACAGCATATGAAACATAAATTACCCTTAAAAATTCATATCTAATTAGTTTTACAGCATTAGATCCAGAGCTAAGAGGTAAAAACAGTACAATATTAGCTTTTGAAAAATTATCATCTTATATGTCCCATATTTTTAGTGATAATGAAAAGTCAAAAGTAGAAGCTGAAATAAGGTTATACCAGAGTGATATTGATATCACCAAAGAAATGCTCTACACATCTGATGAAAGTGGAAATCAAGTCAAGTGTACAATTGATAAATATTGGTCTAAAGTTTTTAATTTAAAAGATGATTTCACAAATGATTATAGGTATCCTTCATTGGCTAAATTGGTCAAAGCCTGCCTTAGCTGCTTCCATGGCCCATTAGTGGAAAGTGCATTCAACTTAATGGATACACTTGTCACTGACTATAAAACCTCTCTTAAGTTTGATTCCCTAGATGCAGTGCAGACTATTAAATATGATTTATTGGCTTCTAAAGAAACCTCATGTG